CTATTTATACAAAATTCAAAGGAAAACCTAAAGGACGCTGGTCTGCCATTATGGTCAGTTGGCTGCAACATGGGGCGCAGGATCTATCTTTGCAGGAAAAGGACGGCGCAAAGAGGAGGCTGCAGGATCTGGTTGCAGAAGAGGGGCAGCACAGAGAGGGGGGGTGCAGGCTGCTGTAGGCTCGAGGGGTGCAAGAGAAGGGAGGCGGAGTCGACTCGGTGCAGGGTAGGTTGCAGGCGTGCGAGGGGGCGATGATGGCTTGGTGCAGGGCAGGTTGCAAGTGTGCGAGGGTGTGATGATGGCTAGTTCAGTGATAGGGGGTAGGGCGCGGTGCAGGGCAGGTGCAGGTTAGGGGTGTAGGCAGCAAGCCGGGCTCGGGTGAGGATGCAGAGCAGAGGCGCTGGGCAGGGGTGCTAGTGCGCAGGGCTGGTTGCAGGCGACAAGTGGGTGGTTCGGGAAGGAGAGAAGTAAAAAAATATAAGAAGAAGGGGAAGGTTCGAGATGCCTTCCCTTTTTTCTTTTTTCTTTTTTTTTTTTTTTTTTTTTTTGGTTCTTTGGGTTTCTTTTTTTTCTTTTTCTTTTTCTCTTCTTTTTTTTAGTTTGGTTTTGGTGGGTTTGGGTTAGATGGGTTTTGGGATTTTAGGCTTTTTGGGTAATTGTTGGTTTGAGTTTGGTGGGTTTTGGATTGGGTTTGATGGGTTTTGGGATTTTGGGCCTTTTGGGTAATTGGATTTGAATTTGAGTTTTGGGCTGGACTTTGCATTTCACTCCTCCAACTTTTCATTTCTTCCATTGAGTCCTTTTTCTCGTTTTCTTTACCATCCTCTTCGTGAAAATCCCCTTTTTACCCATAAACCTAACAATAGAAGCAAAGATAACAATATATTAGTTAAAATAAAATAAAAATAAAATCTTATTAAAAATTTGAGTTATGATAAGGGGAACCGAGTTTTTTCCATTCAAACCAACAAGTTATTGGTAGAAATATAATATATATTTTACATGAAATAATGAGCCTTTAAAGCATAAAAATCATAAAATTTTATATCAAATTGATAAGGTTACATCATAACCTTGGATGATTAAATTAGTTCACGATTAAAGAAAAGAAAATAACAAATCTTATGATGAATATAAGAGTTTTTGATATCATCAAATAAAATTAAAAAACAAGCAAAATCAGTTTGACAATATAAAGTCTTAAACCTTGATCTTCTTTTGATATTAAACTCCTTTTAACCGTCTCTCTTTTAGTCTCCTCCTCTTAGCTGTCTCTTTCTTGGTCTCCTCTAAAAGCCCTAAATTTGATTTTTGAATAGGTATTTATAGGGTTTAAGAAACCCTATTAGAAAAGAAGTGGGAGTTGGGACAAAATAGGAAACTTCACTACTGGGACGTGCTTAACGCATACTGCTAACACCACGAATTATGTGTCAACACTGTACTTGTGTGTTTGCAATTTCTTTAATGGTAAAATAACAAATTTGGGCCTCAAAAATTTTATACAATGAGCATTTTGATCTCATAACTTAAGATCCATTCATTTAGGTCCCAAAAAGGAACCTTTCTTCTCACATTTCAATCCCTCAACTTTTGAAAGATATTCAATTAATTCCAAAAACTCTTATTATTATGCATTCAAGTCTTTTTTTGCACAAAATGAAAACTATGTAAAATCCATTGCAAATCACATATTATTCTTACAAATAGTAATAAAATCAAGGCTGATATAATAGACTAAAGAAGGTAAAATATTTTTCATCAAATTCCCCTAAATTTATGTTTTGCTAGTTCTTAAGCAAAATAAAAAGACAAGAATAAAACCTAACTCACTTTCGTAAAAATTACAATTGCACTTAGCATGTGAAATAAGCCTTTAAACTCTTAGGTCACTCTTGTGGACAAGTTGTGTCTTATAAGGGTTTTCAATGGATCTACCTACAAAATCCCAATGCAAGAATGCAACTACATGATTGATAATTTTTTTTTTTTTTTGGATGTTGTAGGATGTCACTTTGCAATCCTAGCACAGGAGGCAATGATTTTTCAATTTTTAAAACAAGGAGCAAGGGCTAGAAACCTAGGCCACCAAATGCACGCAACCCAAAACTCACACCTTAGTTGGGAAAGGATCAAACACCTTCTTCAGAATTAATAAGCCCTGAACAAGTCATTCTTGCCTTAGAACAAGAAGATGTTAGGAGTGATTATGACCATGAAAAGCTCCCAAGGAAGAGAGGTCGAGGAGTTGCAAAAAGGTACGAAACGCTGAGGAACCTAGCTGATTAGATATGGATCCACACTGATGAACAATGGGGATTGCCACAAGGGATGTTGCCATATAAGGCACGAAGCACCATCTCCTCACAGCTAAAGACATGCTTGCCGATGCCATACACAGCTTGGGGTATGGTGACTCCCCCACATTCAGATATTTATTGGAACAAATTCTATGTAAGTACTTTATGAATTTGAGTTCTAGTATTATCATTAACTTGTATGCTCAAACATGGTTAAGTAATATTATGATTATTTTCAAGCAACATTCCAGTGGGAGGAAGTAGACCGAAGGGTATACGGAATGCTTGGTTGGCGGAGTGCAATGGAAGGATGACTAGTACTATGTCCAAATTGAAGGCTCAATGTGCTAAAGACAAATTTCAGAAAATGCCATCATACATTGCACAGGTAAATCGAGAAAAAGGACCCATTATGACTCAAATTGAGGGCTCCATGTCACATAAGAAGTACATGGAAAAATTGGTACATTCAACTTTTACTCTCTCTTTTTTCCTGATGAGTACGTTCAACTTTACTTTTAATTCAGTTAATTAACATATTTTTAAGCTAATTAGTTAACTAATCCAAAATTATTTGATATTCTAGAAAGCTCAAATGACTAACAACTGATCACCAACTCACCTAGATGGTTACATCAACAGGCATTCCAAGCTTGGTCTCACCCAAGAAGTGCCACACGTGTTTTGTAATATGGTTGCTAAGACAATTGTGGTAAATATTATATGATCATTTTTTACTTTGTGATAGTTTGATTAGTTTTACTTGAGTATATATATACTCAAAATTAAATTTTATATCATGTTTGATAGTGTTGAATTGAATTTGATAAAAAAATGTCATCTATCATATGATTTTTAAATATTTAGTGAATGACTTGAATGATGGAGTTGTGCATTAATGACTTGAATGGTGGAGTTGTGTATTAATGACTTGAATGATGGAGTTGTGTGTTAAATAAGTGTTCTTTATAAGGGAATGTGGTGCTAAATTTATTTGATGACATGGCCTAAGTCTTATTTTTAGGGGAGATTTTGTCAAATTTTCATTTGATATTAACAAATAATATGATTTTGAATTCATTTTTTAGTTCTTTTTTTTTTTTTTGGCAAAATGGTGTAATGTCATGAATGATACAAGAATATAATTGAGAACTTAAAATATTAATCAAATTAATTAAAAAATAAAAATGTAAGTGTTTTGTCATTAATTAAAAAATGATAAGGATTTTGGTATAGTCATGTTAGTGAAACAAAATCAATAGGAACAATGCTTTCATTTTTGAGTGCTAATTTTGTGTGCTAATCTACCATCTATAAATATCATTCTCTCTAAATTCCCCTAGTATGTTTTCACTGCGAACTATTATTCATTTTGATAGGTAGTTTCTAGTTCTCTAATTTAATATACTTATGTGCCACATAAGTAATCTATCTCTATTGTTTTCTCAAATAAAAAAATGTTACTTCCTTTGAATTTCTTTGCAAAACCATAGATTTGAACCCAAAACCTCTACAAAACCTCTATTTTCCCATGGTTATTGAACAGCTAATCTTGAAGACTAATTAGGATTATAATTGACATGATGTTACTTAACCTTCAACAATCTCATGCCAACCTATAAGGCAAACACTTAATATTAAGGATCTTGTTATTTATAGAAAATGACTTCTAAAAAATTATTTTCTACATTTATTTGGTAAGCAAAGAAAACATTGTCATCTAATATATGATTTATAGATATTTAATGAATGATTTGAATGATGGAGTTAGATGTTAGATAAGTATTCTTTATAATGCAATTTGGTATAAAATTTATTTACTAACAGGGGCTAAGTCCTTTTTTTTAAGGGAGATTTAATCAAACTTTATTTTGATATTAATAAATAATATGATTTGAAATTAAATTTTCATTTTTTTTTTTTGTAGAATGATGTAGTGTCCCAAATGACACAAGAATTTAATACACCTAATAGCACACAGTGGCAAATGGATGATGAGATGTATGGGCGTGCCTTGGTTGATATAAGAAGAGGGCCTCGAAAAGGTCGTTTAGTTAGGTTACCACAACATGAGAGGCCAAAGTCTATAGGTATATATATGCAGAAACGTTATCAGAAGAACTATAGTGACAATGTGAACATTGCCAGGCATAAATGATGTTGTCCAACTCCAAAATAAGGTGACTGTTTTAGAGGAACAAAATCAAGCTTTTGGGGAGGAACTGTTATTGATTAAGCAACATGTCACGCCCTAGAACCCGAATCCGAGACGCGACAAACGCCGTGCACTCGTGAGACGGGTCCCACAAATGCACAAGGCTCGGAACTTACTGAACAAAATCAGTTTTGATACCATAAAATTTCCAATTAAAATCTAACTTACAAGAGCGTGGTGTACATGTATCTAAAATCTATGTCAAATCTCAAGTGGCTAGCCTTTTATCATGTCACTCCCCTTGATTTCCGAGTCTGGGGGCACACTACCTGAAATGGTGGACGAGAAAAATGAGGTGAGATAACTCAGTAAGTAAAATATGGATTGCCCTTAATTAAACTTATAACATGCCAACAAGTACAATCACGAAAAATGGATACAGTACGGGCACAAAATAGACGTCTCCTCTATAGGTCACGGCCAGCGTTTATAAACCTCCCACTGACGGGCACACGAGTACTAGTGTATAATCCCCACTAGTAGGGCCACGAGCGAATCGGTTCTATCACGAACATGTTGACATGTGCTAGCGTTTATAAACCTCCTACTAGCGGGCACACGAATAACATGACCATATCGGAGACAAAACAGGCAGAAGTTAACAGGAAAATCACAATTCACAATCACTTTCAGATCATCAGGACAATCACTTAAATTTCAAGTAGGCATGCTCAATTTAATGAAAAGCATAAAACATTTCACTTCAAATCAGTCATACTTGTGTAAAACAGGTTTAGTCCCGCCACCA